TGTATTTCTCTTTGCAGTTCTATCAATTTTTGCCTTGTGCATTTTGCCACTCTGTTATTAAGCACACATACAATAAAGATTGCTATGTCTTAGAGAACTGACCCATTTATCATTATGTAATGCCCCTCTTTATCTCTGTGAGTTTTCCCTGGTCTGTAGTCTGCTTTGTCTGAATTTAATAAAGCTATGCCAGTATTTTCTTGATTAATCTTAGCATGGTATTATCTTTATCCTTTCACTTTTAATCTATGCTTTATATTTAAACTATGTTTCTTAGAGACTACGTATACTGAGGTGTAATTTATAAATTCACTATGACAGTTTTTTCTATTGTTGTATTTAGACCATTGACGTTTAAGTGATTATCAATATAATTGAAATAATATCTGCCATATTTCTTCCTGATTTCTATCTGTTTCCCTCATTCTTTGTTTCTTTTTTATCTTTGACCTTTTTTCTGACTTCTTTGGCTTTAATTGAGCATTTTACCTGAGTCCATTTTTTTTATCCTCTTTGCATATCAAACATATGTACTTTTTTTTTTTTTTTTACTAATTTTAGTGGTTTCCTTTAGCAATATACCTGTACAACTAACTAACCCAAGTCCTCTTTCGGTTAACACTATATAAGTTTATTTGCTGTGCAAGTACTTCCCAATAGAGTATTCTGGATTCCTTCCTCTCTGTTCCTTATAATGTCGCTGTCATTCATTTCATGTATTTATAAGCTATAATTACTGTATAAATTGTTGCTATTATTTTTTAAACAAACTCTTATCTGTCAGATTAATTTAAAAATCGCCAAGTGGGATGGCATACTTCTAATCCCAGCACATTGGGAGGCCCTAGGTGGGAGGATTGCTTGAGGCCAGGAGTTTGAGACCAGTCTGGACAACATAGGAAGACCCTGTCTCTACAGAAAAAGTTTTTTAAAAAAATTTTCTTGGCATGGTGGTGCATACCTCTAGTCCTAGCTACTAAGGAGGCTAAGGTGGGAGTATCTCTGGGGCTGAGAAGTTTGAGGCTGCAGTGAGCCATGCTTATACCACTGCACTCCAGCCTGGACAACAGAGTGAGACCTTGTCCCTAAAAACAAACAAACAAACAAAGAAAAAAAGAAAAGAAAGTAAAACCAAGTACAAAATGATTTCGTTTTACTTTCATCTTTTCTTTTTCAAACTCTCTGCATTTCTTTATCATTTATCTTCTTGTAATGAATTAATTTTAACATTTTTTGCAAAGCAAGTATACTGGGGACAAATTCCCTCAATTTTTGTTGGTCTCAGAAAATCCTTTTTCCTTTCTTTTGAAGGATAATTTTGCTTGATGTAGAATTCTAAATAGGCAGTTTTCTTTCTTTAAATACTTTAAGTATTTCACTCTACTCTCTTCCTGATTGCATGGTTTCTGAAAAGAAGTCTGATTTAAATTTACCTTTGTTCCCTATTTTTTTTTTTTTTTTTACCTGCTGGCTTCTTTCAATGTTTTCCTTTTGTGTTAGGTTTTCTATATTTTCAAATGATGTGCGGAGGTGTACATTTTTTGGTATTTATCCTGCTTAGTGTTCTCTGAGCTTCCTGGATCTGTGCTTTGATGTCTGTCATTAATTTTGGGAAAACCTCAGTCATCGTTTCGTTTATTCTCTTTTCTTTCTGTCTCTCTTTTTTCTCCTTTACGCAGTCTTGTGTGTATGTTACACTTTTGTAATTGTCCCATGGATCTTTGATATTCTATGATGTCTTTTTTGTTTTTGTCTTTTTCTCTTTGCATTTCAGTTTAGGAAGGTTCTATTTACTTTTCTTTAGGGTCACTGATTTTTTTATCCTCAGACATTTCCAATGTATTAATGATTCCTAAAAGGCATTCTTCATTTCTATTGAAGTGTGTTTTTTTTATTCCTAGCATTCCCTCGTGGTTTTTTTTTAGTGGTTCCATCTCCTGCTTACGTTAACTATCTGTTCTTGCGTGTTTTGTCCACTATTTCCATTAGAGCCTTTGTTAATCATGGTTGCTAAACATTTCTGTCTGGTAATTCTAACATCTCTGCTGTATCTGAATCTGGTTCTTTTGCTTTCCCTCTCTCTTCAAACTACGTTTTTAAAGCCTTTTAGTATGCCTTGAATTTTTTGTTGCAAGATGGACTAGAAAAAAGGAAATGAGATAAGTAAGTCTTTATTGTGAGGTTTTAGGTTTATCCTTCTAGTGTTTAGGTAAATAGTAAATTATGTTTACTATTTACTTTAGCTGTAGGTGTCAAAGGCTAAAATATCCTCTGATATTTTTGCTTGTCTTCCCTGTCAGGGTTCTCTAAAGACTCTTAAATAAGGTCTTAAATGTGCAATTCTTTCAGTGTATTCCACTCTTATTAAGCAGAAATGCCTGAGAGGCCTGCCCAGCCCTCCTCAGAGACCTTGCTTAAGGAACCCACTCATACCTTCTTGGCATGAATGTGGTATCATCATGCCAGACATCTGAATCAAACCTTGGGTGCAGGTCAACTGATCTCTGCAGGTGATGATGAGAACTACAGAAAGATCAGGTGTATGTATTGTAACAGTGGTCTCTAACCTTTTTGGCGCCAGGGACCGGTTTCATGGAAGACAATTTTTCCACGGGCTGGGGGCGGGGGCAGGAGGTGGAGCTCAGGCGGCGATGTGAGCAATGGGAGCGGCTATAAATACAGATGAAGCTTTGGTCTCTTGCCTGCTGCTCACCTCCTGCTATGGGGCTCAGTTCCTAAGTTTCATGGAAGATAATTTTTCCATGGACCAGGGAGGATTGGGAGGGAGGGGTAGGTGGAGCTCAGGTGGTGACATGCAGCCTGGTTCCTAACAGGCTAAGGTCTGGTACTGGGCCACATACCAGGGGTTGGGGACTGCAGTATTATAATACCCTTACTGTGGGCTCAAGCAATCCTCCTGTGTCAGCTTCCTGAGTAGCTAGTACTGTAGGTATGCATCACCATGCCAGCCTGTTTTTCTATTTTTGTAGAGACAAGATCTTGCTATGTTGTCCAGGCTGGTCTCAAATTACTGGTCTCAAGTGATCTCTCTCCTTGGCTTCCAAAAGTCCTGGGATTACAGGCATGAGTCTCTGCACCTGGCCTCTTCTTTAGGCTTATTTAGGTATATTTTTTCTGGAGGAAAGGAGGGCAAACTACCAAATGTTCTCTTTTAATGAAATCACATGTAATGGGCTCAATTCCCCAAGCAACAAGTATGACAACATGTTATATATCATCCACCAGGGAAGATCATTATTGACTCAGTTCTCAGAGTGATTTTTGGGGGCCGATCAAATAAGAAACCTCTGGCATGTAAAAAAAATCCAGATTCTAAGAAGGAAAACAGGCTTTCCGTACATCCTATGTTGTTTGTGTAAATAATTTAGGCACCCTAAGCCACTCTCGTCACTTAAGTTGGTGATGTCCCTCCTAAATTCTCACTTCCCAGATACCAGTGAAGGACAAAGTTTGTGATTGGGCATTTCTAAGGATAAAAGTCTCGGGCCTACTAATATTAAACTCTCTTCTGCACACTAGGTAGTAGGACTTTTTTTGAGTAAGTGACACAGATCGGCTGTACTTAGGAATTAACGCTAACCTGAGAAGCTCATTATACTCCCTGAACCCATCAACAAAAGAAGTGTGGATATCCTGCTTTTACTTTACCAAATAGGTAAATTCTAATATCAGAATTGCTGTTCAGAAGCTTATGCTCTGTCCCCTGTACATGGACATCAATAGGTTAGTGATCTTTTTCAGAGACCATCATGTAGAGGAATTATGCATCTGAAGGATTCCTATGCTCAGGTGTTGGGCTCATGCCACTGTGAACCTTGTGGAGTTCAAAATGAGAGACATTGGAAGGACAGCCTCTGGAGTGGCTGGTGGGAATCACTTCTTTCTGAAACTGGAGAAAGGGGATTTCTTTTGGAGGACAGCACTGCTGAACCCTTTATGTATTTGTAATTGTGGGCAAAAATCACCATGAAACCATTATGGACTTCAGTGAACTCCCTTGCAAATTGTAATTCTTGACCTGTTCCTCAAGGTCAGCAAGGCTCAGGGTACACTGTTATGGTTCTGAGGGAAAGAGCTGTTCTGGCATCTTATCAGCTCAATCCTTTTTTAATTTTTCATTTTTTTCATTTTTCTTTTTATTTATTTTCTTTTTTATGTTTTTATTTTTACACACCTATGGTTGTAAAGCTCAATCCTATGAGTGCTAAAAATTGCTAAGAACCCGCCTTGAGGTTTCTGAGCATAGGGATTTTGTGACGATCTAAGTTGCCATGCGTACTTCCTTCTGCCTATGCTCTTACATTCCAGTAACCTCCCAGCCCTATCAAATGGGACAGGGAGAAAAAGGAAACACTGAATCTGTGATAAATATTACACAAACAAGTTAAAATTAATACTTCTCTAAAAGAATATTTTCATTCAGTCAGTTGGATCTGGCCCAACAATACTTCAGTACAACGTTGCCAGTTGGATGTTGATACAAGGTGGATTTCCACAGGCCTCCTGGTCTCTCATGTGTAATCATAGGAAATAGAAGAAAAACATTACAGTTCTTCAGTATGTATTTGTTCATTAAAACCTCATGCAGATTTGACTTTGTATTTCATTGGATGTTGAGTAATATGGTGCATTCTGAGGCAGGAGATAAAAGCGTTTTTCTTACAAGGAATTGCTGGTCTTAAAATGGAAATATTTGTATCATTCACATAGCATTTCTCCAACGTGCTACGTATCCTGTCATTGGAGAGCAATAAGACTTGAAGTGATTGTAGTAAAAATGTAGAAATAATTTCCACATATTCATGGTGTGTTAAATTTATGAGGAAGTGAGTGTGGACAGATTAAGAATACCAATGACCAAGATATAGAATAAACGTGTGGACACCACAGAATCATGTGAACTTTTTATAAATAGGTTATATATCCCCGGTGCTGTCAGTCTCACCCATTCTCCTGTACACATATGTGGGATGTTTTAGGACTTGGTGGCATTTGAGGATGTGGCTGTGAACTTCACCCAGGAGGAGTGGGCTCTGCTGGATCATTCTCAGAAGAAACTCTACAGAGATGTGATGCAGGAAACCTTCATTAACTTGGCCTCTATAGGTAAGAATGAAATTTTTCCCTCACTTAGTCAATTAGAGAACAAGTAGTTCTTGCTTATCAACAAGGTTCTAAGATTTGGAATGTGGAAAGGGAACACTTTGGTAAATAAATCAGGCAGAATAGCAGCTCAGCTTGGACCTAGCATTTAATAATATTTTTTCAATTTCTAACAATTTACAATAATTTTTCTGGGTCTGCATTTTAGGGAAAAAATGGGAGGACCAGAACATTGAAGATCAGTACAAAAACCAGGGGAGAAATCTAAGGTGAGTTGTACTCGCAAAAAAAGTACTGTCCCATGAGAGAATTTTAGTGTGTCATTAAAATATAAAAACAAGTAAGCAAACAAATAAGCCCACTTTTATATTTGTTTATTTTTAGAAAATTTTCACCAAGAAAGTTTTCTTAAACATGGCATAGATGTTCAGTATTTGAATAATAGTTCACCTGAAAACGATATTAAGAAACTCCATATTGTGAGTTTTACTGTTTTAGTGATCACTATGGTCCTCTTCCAGAGCATTCATTACATACACTTTCCCATAAAATAGCAAAAGATATAGTTACTACTTATTAATGATTGTGAAATCTTTAAGAATCATTAATTGTAAAATCATTAATAAAAATGTAATTATGTGCTTATTTTTTACAGAAGTCATACAGCAGAGAGACTTTGTGAAAGAAAAGAAGGTAGTCAATTTGAAGAAACCTTCAGTCAGACTCTGAATCTTAAACTGAAAAAGAAAACTCTTACTGGAGTAAAACCATATGAATGCAGTGTGTGTGGAAAAGTGTATATGTGCCATTCATCTCTTAAGAGGCACATGAGATCTCATACTGAACACAGACCATATGGATATCACAAATATGGAGAGAAGTCATATGAATGTAAGGAATGTGGGAAAAGATTCAACTTTCGAAGCTCATTTCGAATACACGAACGAACTCACACTGGAGAGAAACCCTATAAATGTAAGCAATGTGGTAAAGCTTTCAGTTGGCCCAGTTCCTTTCAAATACATGAAAGAACTCATACTGGAGAGAAACCCTATGAATGTAAGGAATGTGGAAAAGCCTTCATTTATCATACAACTTTTCGAGGACACATGAGGATGCACACGGGAGAGAAACCTTATAAATGTAAAGAATGTGGGAAAACCTTCAGTCATCCCAGTTCCTTTCGAAACCATGAAAGAACTCACTCTGGAGAGAAACCCTATGAATGTAAACAATGTGGGAAAGCTTTCAGGTATTACCAAACTTTTCAAATACATGAAAGGACGCACACTGGAGAAAAACCCTATCAATGTAAGCAGTGTGGTAAAGCGCTCAGTTGTCCCACATCCTTTCGAAGTCATGAAAGGATTCACACTGGGGAAAAACCCTATAAATGTAAAAAATGTGGAAAAGCCTTTAGTTTTCCCAGTTCCTTTCGAAAACATGAGAGAATTCATACAGGAGAGAAACCCTATGATTGTAAGGAATGTGGGAAAGCCTTCATTTCTCTTCCTAGCTTTCGAAGACACATGATAATGCACACTGGAAATGGACCTTATAAATGTAAGGAATGTGGGAAAGCCTTTGATTGTCCGAGTTCTTTTCAAATCCATGAAAGAACTCACACGGGGGAGAAACCCTATCAATGTAAACAGTGTGGTAAAGCCTTCAGTTGTTCTAGTTCCTTTAGAATGCATGAAAGGACTCACACCGGAGAGAAACCCCATGAATGTAAACAATGTGGTAAAGCCTTCAGTTGTTCTAGTTCTGTTCGAATACATGAAAGGACCCACACTGGGGAGAAACCCTATGAGTGTAAGCAATGTGGCAAAGCCTTCAGTTGTTCCAGTTCCTTTCGAATGCATGAAAGAATTCACACAGGGGAGAAACCCTATGAGTGTAAACAGTGTGGTAAGGCTTTCAGTTTTTCCAGTTCATTTCGAATGCATGAAAGGACCCACACAGGAGAGAAACCCTATGAATGTAAGCAATGTGGTAAGGCCTTCAGTTGTTCTAGTTCCTTTAGAATGCATGAAAGGACTCACACTGGAGAGAAACCCTATGAATGTAAACAATGTGGTAAGGCCTTCAGTTGTTCCAGTTCCATTCGAATACATGAAAGGACTCACACTGGAGAGAAACCTTATGAATGTAAACAATGTGGTAAAGCTTTTAGTTGTTCCAGTTCTGTTCGAATGCATGAAAGGACTCACAGTGGAGAGAAACCCTATGAATGTAAACAATGTGATAAAGCCTTCAGTTGCTCCCGCTCCTTTCGAATCCATGAAAGGACTCACACTGGAGAGAAACCCTATGAATGTCAGCAATGTGGGAAAGCCTTTAAGTGTTCCCGTTCCTTTCGGATACATGAAAGAACTCATACTGGAGAGTAACACTACGAATGTAAACAATGTGGGAGAGCTTTAAATTGTCCCATTACCTTTTGAAGACATAAAAGGACTCATGCCACAGAGAAACCCTGTGAATATAAAATGTGGGAAAACCTTCAACTCTCTAGGTGTAAATGCCAGAAAGAACTCATAGTGGACAGAAAACTTACAAATGTAAGCAATAGGGGAAAGCCTTTAGTGGTCACCTAAACTTTCAAGGACCATGAGAAGGCACACTGGAGAAAAACCATATACATGTAAAGAATGTGGAAAAACCTTTAGTCGTCTCAGTTTATTTGGAAATGACGAACAGACTCACAATGGAGAGCAACTTGAATATAGGCAATGTGAGAAAGCCTTCAGTTGGTCCACATCCTTACCAAATATGTGAGAATACACACTTGATGGAAATCCTATAAAAGTGAGAAATAACAGAATGTTCTTAATTTTAAGAAATGCTCATAAGATACACCCTCTTGTGCGAAACTTCAAACTCATGAAAACTCCCCCTAGGGAGAGATCATATAAATGTAGATAATATGGGAAAGTGTGATGCAAATTAATTCATGTTTGTTGTTCCAGAAAATTCACAATATGAAAAAAAATTATAAAACTTATAAACATATTGTATTTATCAGTTGCTCATTCTTAAAGGATATCTCTGGACTATAGATTTCTATTTATTATTTTTAATGATGAACACTGAGGTGAGAGAATTTTGTATGCCTTTGTTAAGCAAGAGTACGCAAGTTTAGTTGGTAGTGTTTTTTCATTAAATCAGTTACTGAAACTTTGTCTTTCTATTTTGAAGTCTGTTGGATTCATGAGTAAATTGAAGTATATTTTTAGTATGGAAGTAGTTTTAATTTTTTGAATTGTTCTATGAGTAAAGGACCATTGAAAAATGACAATTTGGTAATTGTTGGGCTTTTCCTACTGGCCTGGTGAGGCAGGTACTAGATATCCCTTACCCATTATATATATTTCATCTTTCTTTCTGACCAAAAGAAGTTTTTGGGGGAGAGGGCCAGGAGCCTTATTCTGACCTCCATGCTAAAAACTGGTTGTAATAACTTTATGAGTGTGCAAAGCTTATCATACAGTACACTCTCCATTTGACTTATTACTTTCATTTTTTGCTTTCTGTTATTTGACATTCTTTCTGATTGTGATTTGGATAATAGACTTTGTATTACAAAGAGAGACCTTTGATAGGACAATATAATCTATTAATGGAAATGGCTTTCTTGGATTTTGTTAAATTAACATGTATGTTGTGACCTATGTTTTCTATAGTCTATCCTTCTGTGGTTCCATGTTATAATTTGCCAATAGCCTACTTACAGGAGATATGGAAGGCAGAAGTGAAGAAGGCATTTGCTAGGTTTTGTAGCCACAGATGGATGCATAGGGGCTTCAGGCACACCTGCTTCCATCCAGTTTTCCTGATGCTTTGCCCTGCCAATCAAGAGTATTCTTAGAACCACCACTAACTGCTTTACTGCCATGTTTTCAAAGACATAGTTTTTCACAGATTAGGTTCCACTCAAAGATTCACTGCAGTTTGGATTTTCTACAAACTCTAGTGTGTCCACCAGGCAATTAATTTAGATTCTCAAGATTGGGAATATTCCCTGATGCTGTGACCCACCTCATCTCTAGATTGAATTCGTCTAAGGTCTTAATTTATATAGTAAACACATGTTTCTGTAATACTGCCAGTGACTATGTATTTCTGATTCCAAGAGGACAGCTACAGTGGCGAGTCTAAAAGAACTACATGGGAGCTTGTTTCTCTACTGTGCTGTGCAGTGAGTGCACTGACCCAGTCCTACAATGTGAGAATAAGCACCTTCCTCATATCAAGCAGATTGTCAGTGTTTCCTGTTACAGTTTAACATAATTTCTCAGTATGTTTTAAGTTCTGTTTCATTGTATGTGATTAAAAATGATGTGCATGTTTTTGTTAAAAGCTTCTGTAGATGTTTCTTAGAAATATTTTATTAACTGCTTTTAAATAATGTGTACACTATCAATTACTGTCTTTTTCCTTTCCTATGAGGATATATTAAAATATTACATTATGATTATGGATTTTCAAATTAAGTTTGTAATTTTGTCAATCATTATTCTGAGTCAGTATTATCATGTGCATACAAGATCAAGTATTTCCCCGCCAGGAGAATTTTAAATTTTTATTCTTAATATAACAATATATTTTTCATAAAACCATTTTCTCATGCCCTCATAACACCAAAAATGTAAACCATGATTGTCTCATTGACTTCTTGCTGAAGACCACAGGATCACACTTGTAGCCAAGAGAGGGGTGTTATGAACTGTATTAATAGAATGACCACAAACCATAAGTGACTTGGGAATATCAGTAAGGGGGTACTCAAAAGGACTCATTTTGGGTTTGGGCTTCTGTAAAGTGACTTTATCTGGTGTTTTTACTCAAAAAAATTAGGGAAAACCTTAATGTTTTCAATTTTAAAGTACAATCTCTGTCTTTCGATTGGAAAGTATAATCCATTTATATTTAAAGTAATTACTGGTAAGGAGAGACTTCAGGCCCCCCTCTTTTCCTGCATTATTGTTGTCTTTTGTGTTTAGTTGATTTTTTATATTCAATAGTTTACTTACATTTCTCATATCCTTTTGTGTGTATTCTATAGCTATTTACATTGTGACTGCCACGGGGATTATACTTGCCACCCTAAAATTATTACAGTAATTGGAATTGATGCCAGCTTAGTTTTCATGACATATAAATACTCTGTTCCTTTGTTTGTCTGTCCCAATCCAATTAGTTATTATGTCAAAAGTTACATTTTTATGCATTGTGGGTCCAAAAACATAAACTAATAATTATTATTGCATTAGTCTTTAAAATTTTAATGTAAAAAACAAAATGGAAGTCTCAAACCAAAGTTACAATAATACTAGTTTTTAGATAATAAGGATTTTTAAAAATGTTTTAGTTTTTTAAATCACATAGAAAACAAAGATAGTTTCACTTTGAGTTTCTTTGAGTTCATCCTCATTGGACTTTGTTCAGTTTCTTGAATGTTTATATTCATGTCTTTTATCAAATTTGGGGAGTTTTCAGACATTATTTCTCCAAATATTCTTCCTCTTTCTCTCTCTTCTCCCGCTGAGAGTTCCAAAATGAGTATTGTGGCCTGACTGATGGTATCCCACGGGTCCCTTAAGCTCTGTTCACTTTGTTCAGTCTTTTTTCCTTCTATTGGTTCAACATAATAATTTCAGTTTTCCTGTGGTCAAGTGACTGACTCTTTTTGCTTGCTCAAATGTACCTTTGTGTCCCTCTAGTGAATTTGTCTTTCTAGTTATTAACATTTGTCAATCGCAGAATTACTTTTTAGTTTCTTTTTAGGTTATCTATCTGTAATGATTTTTAATTTTGTTCATACATCTTTTCCTTCACTTTCTTCCCATCTTCCTTTAATTAGTTGAACATGTGTAAGACAGTTCTTTTAAAAAAAGCCTTTGTTTAATAGATCCTCCATCAAATCTTTCCCACATATTGTTTTTTGTTGTTTTTTTCCTGTATAAGGGCCATACTTTCCTGTTTCGTTGTAAGCTTTATGATTTTTGGTTAAAAACTGGACATTGGAATCTAATACTGTGGCAACTCTGGAAATCAGATTGTCCCCATTCCCCAAGGTTTACTGTTTTTTCTTTTTGTTTTTTAATCATTGGCTGTTTCTGTACTGAGGATCACCCTGTGTTGTAAACTTAAGTGCTTTTCAGGTGTTTTCTGAGCCTGCACCTTTCCCTGGGCATGTTTAGTGATATTTTAACTTCCTCTGTATATGTGTTTGCTTTTAAATAATCTAGTCTTCAATGTCTGGCGCCCCATGGAGGGGGGATGGGAAGAAAAATGAAGAGGAAGAAAAGGCACCAGCCTTTTAAATGTACTGGAGTAACTTCAGCTGAAGCTGAGGGGCTTGCAACAATGAGAGGCAGATACAACAAATGCCATTCACCTTTTTGTCTGCATTTCTGTAATCAGAAGGAGCAATTAGCAAGCGGAGCATGAATCCCCAATACATGGAAAATGGTCCTTTTTGTCCACTGTGGCTCTCATAAGCTGCATCAACTGCCTGCCCCCACCTGGGGGTAGGGGATCGGTAGCTGATACTGTGCTAAGAGCTGATATTGACTGCAGTTAACCACAATTCTTCATCTAATTCTTTCCCTGGAAGTTGCAAATCCTTCAGTACACTCCAGAGTTTCAAAATATGTATATAAGAGAGATTCTACCAGTTGTGTAGTTGGGGAGACATTCCTCATGCTTCTATCTTGCCATATTCCTATAATTCTCTGCCCTGACTTTTTATCCTAATACGTTATTTCAGGTTTCACCCAAATGTCACCTCCTCATCAAGTGTCCTTCCTCCCATCTTTGTTACTCCTACTTCTTTCCATGTGTAGATTTTTTCACTGCACTTTTCAGAATTTGGGAAATCCAGTTGAAGCTCACAGGGTTTATTGCTTTCTTAACAACATATGGAAAGTTAAATCATGTGAGTGAAACCAAATTGAACAATGTCACCTTTACTTCTATCAAATATATTCCCTGACAAAAGTCCTCCAGGAAATTGCTTTAAGCCATTCTCCAGAAAGGGGAAGTCAGTGAAGCTCAATCCTTTGTTGAGGGTAGCGTTAGCATCCACACATCCTCTCTACGGTGTGGCTTTTTCAGGGTTGATTTGGGACTTCCAGGGTTTACAGCAGGTGATGGTCAGTTCCAAATATATTGTGTGTACTCTCAAGGAACAGGTGACAGTTTAAAGAGAACACAAACTAATAAAAGGGATAAGGTACTTACCCAAGATATCACTGCTTGCCCTGGAAGACAATTTCAAATGAATAATTTACATTGAGGGACATGAGAGGGTCACAGGTGGATTTAACCTGGTCCCAGTTAGACTCCTCGAAAGGGAAAGCTATTTACACAATCTTAAGATTTAGCTGCAGAAATGATTGGGTGCCTCAGTGGTGGTGAGGTGGGGTTGAGAGAGAGT